ATCCGCGACGATTCGGTCCAGTTTTTACCCAGAGAACGCGAGATCGTATCGGAGACGACTACTCCGCCTCCCACGTTGGAGACGTCCGCCGGGAAATCTTTGAGTACGGCGGAAAGTCGCGACGTTCTGACTAGCAAACTAGGACCGTTGGGGTGGGAATACTTGGGCGCTCTTCTGGGCGGCGACAAAAACAAGGAGATCGATACCGTTTACGGAGTGCATTTCGGCGAGAAAGGCACGATGCTGGGAAACAAGCGATTCAAGCTAAAACCGGATGACACCATGGTCATCGACGGTGTACCGTACAAAGGCACGCGCGGCCTGTACGAGTTGATCTTCATGGGAAAACCCGACCCTAAAATCTACACGGAGAAGGACAAATTAACGTACAGGAGCATACTTTTTTCCACCAGCGCTCACAAACGCGGCGGCAAAGCCGACAATCCCGTCAAAGGCAACAAGGGACCGAAGTACAAAAATATAATAGCGCCGCTCGTAAACCTGTCTCTCACAGTTGGAACTACGAAGGGTGCCGGGTTACCGTCGGCCATGCGACTGACCGACAACGCTATCGATTACGTTCACTGGGACGATCCCAACGAGCTGGTCGATAGACTTCGACTGCTGGACGCCTCTCGTCGGGCCGGCAACGATGCTCACAACAACGAAATCCTGTCGATAATCGAGGAACTTCGCGAGGCCGGCTTCGTCATAAATTGATCGGTCGCGTCGGTCGACGTCAGTGCGAGTCGCGCGCCCGCCAGCGCGATGTCCGTGAACAAATTCGGCATGTCTCTGACGAATCGGGGCAGCGGCGACGGAGTCGACGGTGCGTCCGCGGTGAGATTGCGCTCCTCGATCGAGTCCCTGCGCAATTACGCGCGCAACAACGCGCTCTTCATGAGCGAGGATTTTTACGACGCGAAGGAGCGCAAGATACGAAGAGTGGCCGTGCCGGAGATCGGCACCGACGCGGCGAACAGGAGTTACGTCGAGGACGCGATTGGGCAGCTGAAAAGCGTTTTGATCGAAAAGATCAAGAATAACAACGCGATCCGAGATTTGGGAAACGGAATCGCGGCGTTGGAAAACGTCGCGCTCCGTTTGAACGCTCAGGATTCCTACGACGCGTCGGGGCGGAAGATTCGACGCGTAGCCGCGCCGGAGGTCGGCGCCGACGCGGCCAACAAGAGGTTCGTCGAGGGAGCGATCGCGGAACTCGGAAAGACTTTGAGCGACGCGATAACAGAATTTAAAGAGGAGTTCGTCACCGTGAAGAATACCGCGGATAGGCACGAGGTTGAAATCATCGCGATCAAGACAGTTTTGAAGATTATCAAACAAAATGAGCGTGGAAAAACGTAGACTCGTCGAAGAATTGCACGCGCCGGCGCGAAAAAATTTTCCTCGCCGCCGCGTCGTGGTGCGCGGTTACGACGACCTGTGGCAGGCCGACGTGGTCGAGATGCGCCCCTATTCGCGCGCGAACGCGGGCCACAATTACATTCTGACGGTCATCGATGTGCTGAGCAAGTACGCCTGGGCGATCCCGCTCAAGAGCAAGGGCGGAAAGGAGGTCGCGACGGCTCTTCGAAAGATCTTTCGCGAGGACGCGCGACACCCCAGAAATCTGCAAACGGACAAAGGAAAGGAATTCTACAACGCCGACGTGCGCAAAATCCTCGACGAGCGCGAGGTGAATCACTATTCCACGTATTCGGTGATGAAAGCGTCGGTGGTGGAGAGATTCAATCGCACGCTGAAAAACGACATGTGGAAGCTCTTCACGCTCCAGGGATCGTACAGATGGATAGACTCGCTGCCGCGCCTTTTGTCGAATTACAATCGTCGCAAACACAGAACAATCCGAATGCGTCCGGTGGACGTGACGCCCACCGTCGCCGAAAAATTGCTGCGCACCGTGTACGGTCGCGCGAAGATAGCCGCGCCGGCGAAATTTCGAGTCGGCGATCCGGTGCGCGTGAGCAAATTCAAAACGATCTTCGAAAAAGGCTACACTCCCAATTGGACCACCGAGGTCTTTCGCATAGCCAAAGTACAAAGGACCAATCCCGTTACGTATCTGCTGAAAGACGTTCGCGAAGAAGCGATAGCCGGAGGATTCTACGAACACGAGTTGCTGCGCGTCTCCAATCCCGACGTTTATCTCGTGGAAAAAGTTCTGCGCAAGCGCGGCAATCGAGCGTTCGTGAAGTGGTTGGGAATGGACAGTTCGCACAATTCGTGGATAGATAAGGCGTCTGTGTTGTAAAAAGAAATACTTAGACATTAGTAGACAACGCTTACTTTATTGTCAATAAAGGTTTACACATTCGTCGATTTGTTTCTTACGTGTTATTGATTTTTACGATAAAACAATTTTTAAAGCGTACAATATTGTTTCACCCCTTTTTTTTTACAACGGTATTTTGTAATGTCCCCACGGAAGCGTCTCCTCGCCGTTTGACGTCACGTATCGCTTGTCGTCGTGCGGACTGAGGGCTAATTTTTGCTCCGACACGGTGTTAACCTCGTGCAGCGTCGAGCGTATGCACGACTGGCGCGTCTTCAGCTCGCGCGCGTTCCGCAGACACTCCACGTAATCCTCGAACGTGATCCTCTTTGCGACTACGTTTCTCTTGACGCCCTTTATTCTTCTGGTGTCGTCGCGTCCGAGTACCTTGTAAGTGTACATCTTCGCTCTGAGGCCCACGAACTCCGTCATGATCGCGCCGTTGTTCTCGTCCTTCATCAAACCTGGCACCTTCTTGTTGACGCGCGGCATACCGTGCGCGTTGTTCTCCGCGTAATCGCTCGTGTCGAACCTGTGCACGTCGCGTTTCATACGCTCGTACGCGTCTTCGCACTCCAGCGAATAGATCAGACTGTCCGTATCCGTGTAGGCAATTCGACAACGGTCGCGATAGAGCGGCACCATGTAGTCGTAGTGAAACTCGTAGAGACGCGTCTTGGATATCTCGAGAATAGACATACCCACGTAGATCGGCTTGTTGAATTTTACTTCGAGCCTTCGCAGTTCGATCGCCACCAGATTCTCCAAAAACACGCTCCTGCTGTGAAAGTTCGGCTTAGCGATCAACGCCTCCGCGCCGTATCTCCCGTCCCATCGCGTCACGAGACGCACGTCCACGTGATCGCGCACGTTCTCCATAGTTTTGCCGAAGACGGCGTTGTTCATCAGTTTGTACAAATTCCGTTCGAAATCGTTGCTCGCGCGCGTTCTAAGCGCGGTGTTCAGCTCGATGTAGACGCGAAGCCACGGCGACTGGGCGAATCGTAGAACGCGACGAACGCGCGTCAAATGCATACCTAGTCGCAGACATTGCTGCAGGTTTCGATAGTGCGTCACGTAGCGCGATTTGTCGTAGAGAGTGGCGAGCAGTTTTTCCTGTCGCTTGCCGGGCGGTTTGTCGCGCGTCGGGCACAACGGCAGGTCCGCGTGGGCGTCGCGCAGGTCTCGCGGGTACTCGAAATCCACCTCCAAAATGTAACCGACGTCGCTGTCCGTCGGCACGGTCGTCGCGTCGAAATTCTCAGGATCGTCGAGCCACTGGAAATTCGCGTAGGGCAACGATTCACTCATAGCCCAGCCGTACAGATTGTTCACGTCGTAATACATGAGATACGTAGTAGGCTGGGACGAGTCGTGCGTCGGTACGTGCCTGTTATTGGCTCGCGCGTACCTGAGCGAACATTGACTGAGGCCGCCGCGTATTCCGCGTTCCACGAACAGCACCATGTCGATGTCGGTGAGCAGCTCGAAACGCACGCCGGTGTACCTCAGCATGGCGTCCCACGTGTACCCCGGCAACGTGTAGTAATGCGCGGGATCAAGCCCGTAACTCGCCGAACACGCGTCCCGAAAATTTTCAAATATATCCGCCAGAAGAAGCACGTCGGTCTTGAGATACAGATCGCTGTACTCGACGAGATCTCGCACGCGAAAACGTCGCCAGACCCTCGTCGCGTGCTCGTAGTCGCTCTCGCTCGCGGTCTCGTCGGTCAGGGAGCTGTAAAAGGCCTCGCGCGGCGGAAGCTCGGTATCCCGCAGTTTGTCCGCGTCGTCGACGTACTCGTACGGAAACACTCCCTTGCGAGTGAGCAGATCGAGATCTTCCGCGCTCAAATCCGCGTACTCCGAACGCGTGATTCTCAACTTGTCCCTGTTCAGATAGGACGCCAGGGTTTCGATACTCGCCGCTAAAAATTTATACGAGTCCACGAATCGAAGCCTCACGTACCGATCCCACTTCCCGTCCGTCTGCGTTTCCTTAACGGTCTTCGAGAAAGATATGTAGCTTTCCTTCGTGAGCGGCAGCAGATCGACCCCGCCCTCGAAATCGTTCGCGATTTTCTCGACGACGAAGTGCGCGTCGTAACCCGACAAATTGTGAAAGAACACGGGAATCACGTAAACGTTTCTGTAATTCAGATTGCAACGAGAATGCGCCGGACCTCTGTAACGTCCGGTTAGGTGACAGTGATCCCGCACGCGCTTGTCCTCCGGTTGAAACGGTTTCCCGCACACGTGACAATGAGTCGCGAGCAGAAATTCGCTTTTCTCGTCCTCCGTAAGTTCCATCATCGCTATATTGGCGGAAAATTTATTCTTAACGCGACGCGCGAGAACGCGAAGCTCGTTCACGAACCACGAAACGCAATCCTCGCCGCGACGATATCTGTACGCGGACGCGGTATCGTCGTAGGTGCAGCACAGATAGTAGCCCACGTTGAACGGTACGTGACGCTGATAAGCGTATCTTTCCGTTCTCGGGCCCTCCTCGACGTTTTCCCTCTCCCGTCGTTCGAGAAGACACTCCAGATCCGCGTACACCACGAAGGGAAGTCGCTCCTTTCTGTCGTAATTGTCGAAAGACAGCCACTTGTCGCTCTCGTTCGGGAGAACGACGGCGCAGTCGTTCATTCGACCGCAGTCGACGCTGTGGACGGCCAACTTGTCGCGCGTATAGAAATAGTGTAGACATCTGCGAAATAACGTGCGAGCGATTACTGCGTGTATGTAAAAAAAATAACGCCTCGTCTTTTCCTTGTTCCCCGTGTTTTTTTTTTCATTTCATTTCTTTTACCTACCGATCGCAAACGTACTTCGCGTACCAAACGTACTTCGCTGTCAATTGCGAATTCAATCGCGACAGATTCTTTATCCAGGCGAAATGGCCCCTGTTGACGCCGCGCAGCGTATCGGGCAGATACAGCAGATTTACGTGCCTGTCCCGCTTATCGTCGGTCAACCGCAGAGGCACGATCGCGTTGTGGTCGGCGCCTCGGCCGAACTTAGCTTTCTTTTCAATTGCTTCCCGAGTTGTAAACACGTTGATCGATACGTCGTTCTGACGTTTGAATTTTCCGATCTTTTTCAGATCTATGGGAAAATCGATCCCGTCGAGATTCAGCACCGTCGCGTAATCGGGATACGAGCCGCATCTTTCCGCGTGCCGCTCGGCGGGGTACAGAGCGGCGACCACCGCGCGCGCGAAACACGTGTCGTTCTCCGACGGCACGTTGACCACCGCCTTTTTAAGTCTTATACCCAGCGGTATTTTCATCCAACATCCCACGCGCATGGGATTACACTTGTTCACGTTCACGATTAGGTTCAATATTTGCGACAACGCCCATCCGCTGTCGCGTTCCTGAAATTCTTCCAACCGCGTTAGAATCTCGTCGCGCACGTGCCTATCGTACCACTCGCCCAAATCGGACCCCGGGAGGAGCTGTTCGTTCCGCGTAGCGATACTCTTCACGTCGGTCTTAACGTCCGCTACGAATTCTCCGTTGAATATGACGTTGACCTTCAGACACCCGTGTTTGGTCATATTATCCTGGACCTTTTCGAGCACGGTGCCCTTCGCGTCGTTGAGAAATCGCGCGGGCTCGATGTACGTCGAGTTCGTCACGGCGCCGGTCAGCACGCGACGTTGGAACGCCGCGTCGATCTCGATCCACGAGAAACCTCTGTCGCTGCTGCCGCCGCTACCACCTTCCCCTCCGTCCAAGCCGGCACCTACGGCGCATTCGAATCGTCGACGCAGATCCTCCCTCAAACCTTCCAATCACGCTATCAGAGCCACCAGAGCGCTCACGTCTCCCGTGTTTCCTCGCTTCCCGGAGCATTTGACTCGACACTGCTCCCGCAGAAGTCGGAGACACTCGTCGCATCGCCGTCTCCACGCGCGGTACCCGTCCGCGTCGCGGACGTCCGCGGCGAGCAACTCGTCGCACTCTTTCCGCATCGCGTCCAGAAAGATTCACCCTCGGAAACGTTGAACTTCACTCGGTCGAAAAGACGACGAAACCAGCCGGTTTGAACCCGATATATCTTGCTCTGTCCTCCGTACACCGACTCGTGATAGACATAATACTTGAGCGGCAGGCGACGCATATAATCTCTCGCCCTGACGGAGTTCGCCACCGTCGTCTCTATCCACTTTCGCTCGCGATGGATTCGCGCTCCGATTTCCCTTCGCAGATGATGGGTAGCCAGATTCCATCGCGGGTCCTCCTTCGCAACCGACGCGCGCGCACTCGACAACGGTGCTTCGACTCTCGCCCATTCGTCGTCCGAATCGGACAAAAACTTAGGCATGGGCTCGCGACAGCGCAATTCGTCGTCCGATTCCTCGGACGACGGATAACGGCGATCGTTCATTCGCGAGTACCCCAGCCGAATGCTAGCGTCTTTTCAACGTCTATAGATGTCGATAGATATCAAATCAGTCTCTATAAGATATCAATTGGACGTCTATAGACGACGGCGTTCCGGCTGGGACGTATCGCCGACGCTACATTCGCACCGCTGACGTCTATATATCAAAATAAAAAGATCTCCATCTTGAATCCTCCCACATTAACGTTTCGGTGTAATCATAAGTATCCCACAAACCTATTTTACAATTCCCTCCACATTGTGAACAGAACTCGTGCGTCAATACTTCGTCGTAAACGTTACGGACGCTGCCAAGAAACAATACACCAACATGTTTTAACGTATGAGTCCAAAGCCCTCTAAATGTGATCGGTTCTACCGATATGCAATTTGAAATTCTTGGGACTTCACCTGCGTTCGTTTTTACTGATATGCGATCTAGAATGCTTGGGACACCACGTGTCAGCGCCAGCGAGTACGTTTCGAAATCCGACTTCTCTGCCGCGAAGCAAACGCACCATCGACGAGCAATAGCGTCCGTCCGTTCCCATACCGTATTTTCTTTACAAATATATTAACTCTCGACCGCGCTTTAGAATCCTCGTAAAAAAAAAAAACGTTTGCCGAGCCGTTCGCGCGCCCGTTCAATTTATACTTCCCCGTTCGTCGTCTCAACGAAAGACGTACCCCTGCCGGACGCAATTTTTCCGGAATGACGACAACCGCTCGCGATATCCTCCGACGAAAAATAAAAAAAAACAAAAGGAGGAAACAATGAGAGCGACCGCGACGCCGAATTCGAACGCGCGTTACATAAATTATCGCGAATCGCGAATCGCAGGTCAAACGCGAGGTGAATGAAAATTGTCGCGAACGAAGAGACGAGTCGTCTCGCTCGTTCTCTCTCTCGACGCGTCGCGTCGGGGATGGGCGGAAAAACCGCGAGACAAGACCAAATTAGGAAACGACGAGAGCGACCGCGACGCCGAATTCGAACGCGCGTTACATAAATTATCGCGAATCGCGAATCACGGGTCGAACGCGAGGTGAATGAAAAAAATTGTCGCGAACGAAGAGACGAGTCGTCTCGCTCGTTTTCTCTCGACGCGTCGCGTCGGGGACGGGCGGAAAAACCGCGAGACAAAAGGAGGAAAACCGCGAGACGAGACCAAATTAGGAAACGACGAGAGCGACCGCGACGCCGAGTTCGAACGCGCGTCGAAAAAAAAATTGTCGCGCGTCGATCGAACGACTAGACGATGAGTCATCTCCGTCGATCCCGATGAGTCGGGAAAACCACGTGCTGCCCGTCGCGACGCGGATCGAAACGACCTTCGGACCGAGAGTTAAAAAAACAAAACAAAAACGACGACAAAAACGGGCGCGCGACACCCCCCCGCGAAACGAACCATCTAGAATGCGTCGTTCTCCCCCCCATCCCCGAAACGTCCAGACGAGCGACTTCGAACGAGTTCGAACGAGTTCGGACGCGCCCGAACGCGCGTGCGACCGACAACGATGAAAAGAAAAGAAAAAATAAAAACAAACAAAAAATATCGACCAGCGATTCTCCCAAAACCGCCGTCGGTAACGGCGCGAGCGCCGCTCCGAGCGCCCTCTCGGAAAATGCCCAAATCCCCGCTACGAGCCCCCGTTGGCGGCCCTGCCCCGCGCCGAACCCCCGTTGGCGGCCCTGCCGCACCCAACCTTCCGTCAAATGTTCTCCTCGCGTCGCGCACCCCCTCTCGCCCAGTTTTCGTTTCCCCCCGCATAGCCTCCCCTCCGATGACACTTTACACCGTCCCTCGACCCCCGCGCCCACCGCTTACGGCGCTCCCCCCGCGGCAGCAAAGCCCCCCCGACGCCGCGTAACCGCAAGCGAGATCCCTGGGGCAAGAGTATCTGTACCATCCCTACTCTAAACTACGATTAAATCGTTCGGCTTTACCATTATGTTGAGGAGTATATGGTATTGTATAATCCATAAAAGTGCCATTTTTTTACAATAATGTATTATTTCTTTTGATACATACTCCCCACCATTATCACATCGCAAAACTGATACTCGTTTATTAAATTTAGCTTGTACCATTTGTATATATTCTTTAAATTTACTAAATACTTCACCTTTGTTTTTAATCATGTATACACAAACGAAATTTGAGTAATCGTCTATAAACGAAACGAAATATCTATCTCCATCATGTGATATTGGATTTATCGGTCCACAAACATCAGAATGTATTTCTAGAATACTTTTACTTTTCTGCCTTTTCCCAAACTGTAATTTCGTCATTTTACCATTTACACATGACTCACAAAACTCTACTTTACTTGGTTTTAGATTTTTAATGCCATCAACCATATTCTTATTTATTAATACTTTTAAACTTGAGTATCCTATGTGACCATATCTCTTATTCCATAATTTAGTCTCTTCATTTTCCTTATTAATATACAAACATTCATTTTTAAAAACTTTAAAAAATATTTCATATAGATTATTTCTATTACCTAAGCCTATTATTCTCTTTCCATCAAACAACTTTACTTTACCTTTTTCAAATATTACACTTATATTAAACATTTCTAGTCTTCTAACTGACAATAGATTTTTCTTCAAATTTGGGACATAAAAAACGTTTTTGATAGTGCATTTGATTTTGTTACCATTTACACAACTTTGGACATTAATATTTCCTACACCTATTGCTTTTAAATAACTTTTGTCTTTGGCAACTGCTATCTTTATTGGTTCATTTAATTTCATAAAATCACTAAAATATTCTTTGTTGTTTACTAAATGATCAGTACATCCCGAATCAACAAAGAACGAAATATCATCATTACTTACTGCCTCTGTGTTACTATCTCTGTTACTCAAAAAGCATATACTATCTTCACGCGTATTATCCGCTTCGGCATTACGTCCTCTTCTTTGTTAGTTATAATTAGCATGTCTATAATTCGACTGGTTGTTCCATCCTCGGTAGCCTCTATCTCCTCTGTTTGTGTGGTGGGATTCTTTTTTGTTTTGTGGTCCCCTAAATGTGTTGCCTTGATAATTCGGTTGATCTTGAGATGGCTTTTTACAATGTTTCTTGATATGTCCAGTTTCACCGCAATTGTAACATCGTATTGACTTGTTGGTATTAAATGCAGCTGGCTTCGTTGGTTCACTCTGGCCGTCACCTTTCTCTCTTCTTCTCAGAATCTATCCTTAACCTTGTCTTCACATAATTCATGTCCAATGTCTCCATCGCCATATTTTCAAGGACCGTCACTATTGTTTCATATGACTTTGGTAATGCGAGTAGTAACGTACAAATAGCATCCTCTTCCTTTATTTCAGCACCTGATGATTTCAGCTGGCACAGAACATGATCATATTTTGATAGAAAATCCTCTAACTTCTCTCCTTCATTCATTTTCTTTGACATTAATTTTTTTCGAAGGAATAATTTTCCGGATAGACTTTTTTTCTCGTGTACATCTTGCAGACTTTTCCATATATCATACGCTGTTGTCTTGTCTTGTATCATATCTATTTGCGTATCATCTATACATTGTACAAGTATAGATTTACACTTATTCTCTTTCTTTCTTGCTTCTTCCTTTTGCTGCTGAGTCTCATAGTTCTCATCGCTATATCTAACGGCTATCATCTCTTCTACATTATTCTCAATCAATATTGTTTTAACTCTAAACTTCCAGGCTTCATAATTTTTGCCGTTCAAAGGATCAACGTTGTAGAAATTACTCTTACTTATATTCTGAGCCAGTTTCGTACTTAACCTCGATGATATGTATCTTCCGTATTCTCTGCAATCCTGTAGCCTGGGCCCATAACCTGTTATTGGAAAGGTTTCCGCAATTGACTTAATGAGATTCCTGTATTCTTTTGTATAATAGATACTATTTATGTGGTCTTTTATACAATATGCTGAGACCACAACGTAACGTGACTTTTCAGTATCTAATTTCTTAACGGAAGAGAACGACCAGACAGAAGTACCAATTGTATAAGAATAAAAAGCGCGAAAACTTAGAACTAGGATTATATACATGGATAGATAGAATTGTTTGAAGTTGAAAAAGAAAGAGAGAGAGAGAGAGAGAGAGAGAGAGATTGTGTTGTTCTTTTTTGCGGCCATCAGTGGCGGTTGTAATTCGATAGGTCAAGCCGCGCATTCTACGCAGTTCGGTGAAAAAGCGCGCGAGCGGCGCCGACAACGTTGCGTCCCAGGCGGCGAGGCGCGTGTTTACCGCGCATGCTTGAGCATGTTGGGAGGGGCGCGCAGCCCGGGCGAGCGAGCATTCGTCTCCCAGCCATCGTGCGTGATACATCGTGCGTTATACATAAGTTCGAGTCGAATACGTAATTGCGTCATCTTTTCGAAGTTAAGTTGTAAAGTCGCCGAGATCTGCCTCTCCGTGTGCAGTAAAGAATATAATTGTTAATCATGTACGAATCTTCTTGAGGACAACTACGATCGTCGCCGAAAGGAAGCCAAGGATATACGTCCCGGCGAGCCATGCCGACACGTGGAAAGATCAAGGAAGGCAGCCATTTTCTGGAACGTTCGAGGAAGCCTGTTCAGGCGGAATACGAGCAGCTACTTATACATCGAGAGGAAATTTGTCTGTTACGTGGTCTGTAAGACTATCTATAATTATTCATCTGATTTACTCACAAAGTAACCAATTATTTAACAAACTCGAGTAGAGACGTTAGAATTTCGTCTAATGTCACGATAAAGATCCTGATCAAAGGATCTTTGACTCATCTGAGGGTTATCCTTGTTAATCTGAGGAGATATAATAAGTTTCGCGGGTTGAGAGGAAAACATCCTCTTTTATTACAGGATTGTGCACAATTTATTTCGAGTCAATTGTATAACACTGAGTTCAGTCTAAAAGTCAATTAATTAATTCTTTGATTTCAAATCATTTTATTTCAATGCAAAACTTTACTTCTTTCTTTTGTGCGATTGATTTATTAT